CTAATGAATTTGGGACTTTTTTCCCTTTTCTTGTACTATTGCATCAAGAGATTTTACAAGTTGTAAACAGCACCAATAGAAACACACTTCTAATGCTGAATGTTACAGCATCTAAAGCAATCCTACCCCTGTGCCACTGTCAGCCAGGCAGCACAGTTCCCCTAACAAGATGAATTACAAGGGATGATTGATTGAGGACAGGTTTTTCAACCACCTTTGTCTCACTGATCCAAAACAGTATGAGCCATTAAATTGGACAACAGAAAATGTTGCTTCTTTTTTTCATTCATGTAATTCTGGCTTTTTTTCCCAATACTAAGTTGTTTATTTTTCTCTTTTATATTGTAATACTGCATTTTAAAAATCAAATTCAATTCAACCTTGAATACTAGCAACTATATATGTTCCCTTAATTCACAACAACTAAACAATAATGAGTGTAATGAGTATAGAAAAGGATGGCAGAAATAAGATGGCATATCCAATTCATTCACAGTTTAGTTTTGTAAACATTTACTACATGTTACATATATCGTGCTCCTTTGAAAAACTGGGGCTTTATGAGCAATCATGCTCTTATACTTAATCAGAACCTCATGGAGGTCAGTGTAAAGGTCCATCTGTCTGAAGCAGAACAGGAAAGTATATTAAAAGTTAACTGGGAAATTATTTCATATGTAACTTACAGATTTTAAGAAGCCAATTTAACAATGTTAGTGTCTTGGTATTGTTGAAAACAGAGCATGTCAATGAAGTGACTAACATTACCTTCAATATTCCTATAAAAGAAATTTCTGAAGTTTGCAACTCAAAATAAATAAAAGGAGTAACATGCAACATGTAAACAAACCCAGACAAGTACAAAAGATAAAAGGTGGGACAAACCTGCTATGCCTATACCTTTTCTCCTGTTGCCTATTTCTGATGAGGAGACTACAGAAGAGCCAAACACCAGAAGTTTTGTTTACATTAAGTGCTGAGATCTCTGTTCCATAATGCAAATCTGGACTTTGTATGATTTTGTTTTAAACACTAAGGAAATTACAGAGGCAGTCAATAGGTCATAGTAGTAAAAAGCAAAGAATGGGAACTACAAGGAAGAGTGATACAACATTTTAAAACCCTCTCAGTTATTTAGCAGACATGATCCCTCCACATATCATTTAATACGTACTTATTTAAAAATGAAGTGACAAATATAAGCAGGAAACAAGTCTGCATGCATAACATTCATACACAGAAGTCTGAATGTAAACTACAATCAGTTGCCAGTATCAACAAAATGAGCAGGCAGTTAGCTCTTGGTTTGTCTTGGTGGGTTTTTTTAAAATCTTTTTTAATTTTCTGTGTGAAATTTTATATATGTGAAAGGGAATTATATAGCACTTACTACTGCCAGACACAATATCAGCAAACATCAAACATCTTCAATGCACAGCTCTGTAAATGCATCTCATTTTTGACCTCCAACATTCTTGCTGAAAGTCTAGGTCACAGAACAGGACATCAGAGCCCTTCCTTTGTGTGATTTAAGCTCATGATTGTGACTCACAGTTAAACAGAGAGCACTGTCAATAACATTGGTAAAGGATGACATTTGGAGAAAATTTCTCCCCTCTGATCTTCACAGCATAAATAACGCTTAGTCTGTACATGTTCCAAGTGCAGGACTCCTACTGAAGTTTCATTTAAAAAAAAAAAAAAGAGTACAGAATACACAGAATAGATCTCCACTGGTGATAAGAGACTCGCTGCATGAAATAAAGAACAACTTTGCCCTTAATTTGATCTCAAGCTCTTCCCTGCTTCCCCATATTCCATCCGAAAGATCCATGTGTAGCTGTGTTTTTCAGTCATGTTGCAAGTGTGATAGAAGAGGAAGCACACTGCCTCTGATGGCTAATACGAAACACGTAATTCCAATGAACAAAACCAAAATCATTTGGTTAAGATCAGTTGATGAGAAAACATCTGTTGTGTACTTCAGTATGATGATGTATAATCTCAGCAGAAGGAATAACGGTGAATGTTCAATGTAAGCAGCAGAAAAGCCTCTGTCTTCAGAGTGCTGATGCATTACTGTATTTTCAGTATTAATACAGATTTTTTTGTGTATGTGTGATGGAAAAACTATTGAAAGCCTTTCAATTAGAGGGACAATAAAAAACTACACCTTCTACTATAAAATTCTGCTAATGTAATTATAGTTGTGCTTTAAATACAACCATAGGGCTTTTATTTTCCATCAAGGCAACATAATACTCCTCCTGCATCAGAGCACCATTTGCTGAGCAACTTTACTGTGCATTAACAGAGTCACTTTCACCTAGTTGTGCTCATGTAAATCAACCTCTATGGTTTTTTGTAACTCACCAGAACTGTCTCTTTATTCTCCTAACTTTTCCAGTTAGGGAAATCGAGCTCATGGAAAAAAATGCATTTGATGTACATAAGCTTCCAATAGTTGGCCTACAAAAGCGACACGAACAATGTGCTTTTTCCTCCTACTGAATTTTTTTTTTTTTTTTGCTTCCTAGGACAGCTTTCATGACAGGAGCAATCCTAGCACAGACAGTTCCAGGCGACTGCTTTCATTGGGAACGGTAATTGAACAAGTCTCAGTAGTTACAGACCCCACTGTGTCAAGGTCTACACTAGCATGCACTAAACACCAGAGAAACAACACATAAGGAAATTTTAACCTAAAAGCAACAGGAATAACCTGACAAACTGTTCATATGTCTGCAGTAAGCAAGTCAAGCAAGAGAACTTTGACTTGTCCCAGTTACAGGGACAGGCACTAAACTTGACCACTGACTGGGTGTCAAAGATTCCGACAAAAAGAATAATGGCTTCTTAAACACTATTATTGAGAACAAACTAGTGTAGTTTAACAGTAATCACAGCTTAAGATAACCTTTGGAGAGCTGTCAGAAATTATTAAACATTGTTAATACATAAAATTAGCTGTTTTCAGCATTCGTCTCAGTCTGAGAAAAAAATTGCTAGGATAGCTATTAGCATGCTTAAGTCAAAGTTTTACAGAAAACTGGCCAGCTTGCAAAATTCTGGGAAAAATTCACTTCTGAGTATCATTTACAAGTGAACTTCAATTTAAGCACTGACATTTGCTAAAAGCCAGAAGAAAAATTCAAGATTCCACTTAGGATGGAATTTTTGAACATAAGAGAAAAAAAGAAGTGAGTGTCTCTGGCATAAGGTCAGTCCTTGTTCAAGAACTTGGCTTTGGAGTGTTAGGTTTTGCATGGAAAAAGTCTAGGTGGATGGGGAGAGGTTAATGCTAGAAGAAATGGAAGATAAATAAACACTTCATACAAAAACATTTTGGGTTTTCAGTGGATTTTAAAATGGGGCACGAGAAATCAATATATTGACTATTAACATCTATCATTATTAATTTGAAACCCATTTCCATATTTCTACCTTTGATGATATGTTGTTAAAAATACTCTCATTACTATTATCTGTATCATATGGCAGAGATTTTTTTTATTTCTAAAAAATATATTCTTAGCACCCATACTTGAATGTGGAAAAAGCCTAAAAAACAATAAAAGCCAGAACTGGAGTAAAAAACACCAAACCACATGCACTTTTCACTCTTACCATTGGCAAGTGACAACTCTAATCAATGCAAGTACAGTAATCAGCTGGAACTTTTGCCTCTATAATAACAAGCTTAAAAGAAATAGAAAAATAATATTTGAGAATATATGAACTTAAAACACTAGTGTGATTGAAGGTGCTTGCAGCTAAGGCATCTTTGCTTATTTCCTCTTAGGAAGCAGCAGATGCTCAGGCAATAGATGTCCAGGCATCTTCCTCACTAGAACACACCAAACCTCTCAGAAACTCCCGAAAGACCAATTCAAATAGGTCTTCAGATCTATAATAAAAAAATCTGATAACACAATCTTCAAAATTAGCAACTCCAACACCGCAGACAGAGAATAACTGCCCTAACCAGTCTGTCCTTCAGTTGGCTTGGACAATCTGCAATTAGAAGTCTCTCTGAAGTCCCTTAGCAGCAAAAGTGAAGGAACAGGAGTTCATACGGGAACAAAGGCATCAAGTGAGATTCATAGTCTCAAAGTAGGCACTGGAAATAAGAAAAAAAAATCCCAGTATTTCCTAAGACAAAAGCCGCAATATGCTCGCTGGAATGCAGGGGAAAAAAGAAAAGGGCCATATGAAATTCGGGGGAAAATAATCCTAGAGGTGTGAGAGAAAGAAACTGTATAAATATCAGTATGTCCAAACCAATCTGTGCTCTTATTAATCATAATTCTAAAATGATAAAACGACTCTCTTTTTGAGTGAAAACAGTCATTGATGTCACATGCTTCATTATGGAAAGGATTTATGCAGTTTCCTCTTTGCAATGTTCCACGTGTTCTACTTTTCAAAGTTCTCTTACAGCAACTACCAGGCACTACAGTGCCAACTCACATTTAAAAACTGAGAGACATCATGGAAGAAAGAGAGGTAAGGAGTTTTGCTCCAAAATGTTTTAGTATATTAAAAAGCTGAAAATTAAATAAAGCAAAGGATACTAGCTTTAATTCAGAATTGAAATTAAGAGGTCAGATTCCTTTGCTTTATTGGTGGCAAGTTTATACCAAAATTATTTGTAATACCTTGCAGAAACTATAAACACATCATATTCACAGCAAATCCCCACTTCTATTAGAAGAAGGTTCTTCACCCAGAGGATGGTTGCGCACTGGAACAGGCTCCCCAGGGAAGTGGTCACAGCACCAAGCCTGACAGAGTTTAAGAAATTTGGACAATACTCTCAGGCACATAGTGTAACTCCTGGGGTATCCTATGCAGGGCTAAGAGTTGGACTTGATGATTCTTGTGGGTCCCTTTCAACTCAGCATATTCTGCGATTCTATATTTGAAGCAAAATTTGGACTCTAAGCCAGCATTAACAGTTCTGACGTAAATTTGTGCCACTTTAATGCTTTTCATGACCTTTATTTTAAGTCAAGGCCCTCTTCAAGGACATTGGTAGTTACACTCTCTTGCGATTGCTAAAAAGAAAAATACACCTTATGTCTCATGCTCTTTGATTTCAAGTGGATGAAAGGCCATTCATGGGTACCCAACACTGCTGCACCCTTTTTCATCTGTTTTGCTTAAACAAGCAATGAATTAATTCTCACCAGTGACCTCATTAGCATAGACTTCCTTGCATCTGCAGTATAAAAAGTGCTCCATAAAAAGAAATTCTATTTTATCTTGCACCAGTCAAGACTTTTAAAGCTACTATTTGATATACAAATGAACTAGCTCACCTTTTTCTTATTTACTTGTAGAAATAGCTTGTCTATCTGCTCCAAAAGACACCAGTGATGTTGATTTACAGGATATAGCAATGGAGTCAGACTTCGCTAAGGACCAGGTAACTTTATTTTTATCCTGGTGTCTCCATCAAGCCACTTTAAAGAGGAATTGAAGTTCTTCTACACAGTTTAGAAGCCTCTTTCAAAATGTGCAGTATTTCCATTTGTTAACTAGAGTGTTTTCAAGGCAATCCTGCTTGAGCCATAACAAATGGGAAGAAACACAGAAGAGTATAATAAAAAAAAATTCCATCACGAGATCAAAGATTACCCACTAAAAAGAGAGCCCTAATTTGGGGTCAGCACTTCACAGCAAAGTAATCAGTCAGAAGACTATTTGTTGCAATGCTACTTGCTGTAGCACACAATAGGAAATGATCACCTGTAAATTATTTTGAGGATGGAACGAAGATTTGGGACTTGCTGTAGCACACAATAGGAAATGATCACCTGTAAATTATTTTGAGGATGGAACGAAGATTTGGGACTTGCTGTAGCACACAATAGGAAATGATCACC